AAGTGACAATTATCGCTTTAGAGTGTGGCCTTTTTGTCCAGTCCCAAATATGAACTTGACAAGGCTATGATCATCCGACTATTATTATTTCTAGCAGAGACAGGGAAGCAATGAAACAGCACATGAGCAATGCCCCTTTAATCAAAAGGATCAACTGCTTACCCTTCTATGCCTTACCCCAAAGTGTGACACCTGTCCACTCAGCCTAAATCAGGAGCTGCCAAAAGGCACATAACCCCTGCCCACATTCGCCCAGATGGGAGGATCTCTCCAGGGGATTCCTGTTTTTAAGTCGGGGCACTAATGCGCCTGTTCATGATTGCATCCATTCACAGGTGACTGAAACACCATGTCAAGCATTAAACATGCATTTGAAAGCCATCGTCAAGTGGAGCTCTCGATCAATGAGAGCTGGTCTCTAGTGCCCGATATGCCACATTAGTGTCACTCCAGAGTGTTTGGAGAGAGGCAAAAAAGAGAAAGGAAGGAGAGGAAAAAAAGAGGAAAGGTGAAGTGTCACTTGTGGGAAGGACCATGAAAAGAAGAAGGAAATATGAGACGGGAATAAGAGTTAAACCCAGGGGTTCCCTTGATATCAAGGCCTGAACAGAGGTCTAGCAGAGAGCGAAAAAGAGAAATACAACTGCTGAGCATGTTGTTTTGTGAAATCTGGAGTTTCCCATGTCTTGGATGTGCTGTATCCATTCTGGGTTTTATTCCAGAATTTGAAGCAGAGGTGAGGATTTTGCACCCTGAGGCTAAATGTGGCTCTTGGAGAATTCCCAATGTGTTCCTTTGGGACTTTCAGTATGCTCCCTAAGTCTCCAGTGCATATACAGATCCCAAAGTTTTTAAGGAAAAAATGCTTTTTGCTCAAATACTTGGTTTTTTAGGTGTGTGTGTGTGTGTGTGTGTGAGATAGAACATTTTAAAAGGCTCTTTTGTGGTGGTCCTTCTGCCCTGAAATGGCAAGAGCTGCCTTGCCAAATACCCCCTAAAAGTAACCAGAAGTAATGTAATATCATTTCTGGCCATCAAAATGGCAGTCACGACGGTGCAGCTCAGGTCCTTTTGGAGCCTGTTTTAAAGGAACTATCCAAGGTACAGAATTTATCTGGGGGTTAGGATTTGGCACTTTGGGCACTCCCTTTCAAGACTGGAATAAAGCTGGGCACAGCTTCACTGCCTCTCTGGCAACATGGAAGTCACCAGCTGCCACTGTGTCTATGGAGAAAACCAAGATGATGGCTACATCCCTTCCATGTTGGATCTCCGGGCCAAAGTGGACTGGATATTGTTCTTCTTAAGAACAAAGCGACCAGCACATCAACAGGGTTGGGGAAGATATACATGGCTGCTGATTGGTTGAGCATGACAAGTAAAATTTAGAAATTATGGCTGGGATTCAGCACAGAACTTAC